GAACATGGCTCCAGCGTAGGGCAGTGGCCTAAGGGAATCAACGGACATCGCAATATTTGTCATTCAGATGTGCAGCGCTTGATACGACCTTGAACAAACGATAGCATGTTTCTCTTTGAATGAACAACCTGCAGTTTGGCGTAAAAGCAACCCCATTCCGGTTATTTAGGTATGGCACGCTTGATCCCCCCAATACGTGAAGTGGCGAGCGCGGCGTGATGTGTGGTCGCTTGTTTGGAATATTAAAGATATCACCCGTGTCTCTCTAGAATGGAGCATTCCTTTGATCTTTGTTCTTCGGCTAAGCGTTCTGGCCCTACCCGCTTGTTCCACAAACACGGCCAAACCCCCTCCCCCCCCCGCAGAGATCTGTTTCTTCCCGCAAGCAATCAATCAGCTGAGTGCCTCCGTTTTTCTGACTGTTGAGCGGAGGGGAGAGCCCCTTTCAGGTCAACGACCAAAAAGAACGAGTGCCTATTCTTGTTTTCCATGGAACTCCACTGGTCTGCGATTCGGAGTTCTCAATGAACCATTCCTCTTCATGAACACAAATGGGGTCTCTACAAATCCAGTTTATATGTAAGAGCGCAATAAGCCTGCAACATAGCCTGAATGGATTGTCCGTGTACATGATGAGCCAAGAAATTCCCCACTGGCTATTCTAGTAGCCGGTTCTACTGGATTTAGTAGGGTTATGGTGAGGCCAGGTTTAAACCGTTTTCCGCGCCTTGATCCCATCTCCTGCGAAGCTCACTGCAAAAGGATAGCAACTCTACTGTAATATGTGTATGTTTATATTGGCACGTACCCATATGTCAATGTGTTCCAACACTAGTCATATTATAGATATGCATATGGTCGGTCCATGTTTGTGCAAACGTGTGTATTGCACTTGGACGTTCGTTGCAAGTAGGCGCATATGTTTTCCAGTGTGTATGTGTTTCCAAACAGATAAATATTATTAAGTACATACGTGTTTGTTGGTTTAATGTTTTTTGGTCAAACAACAATATGATCTTTGTTTCTTTCGGATGCTACGGACATGTTTTCTCATTTGGCTGAAGCAATCGGATCCAGTTTGTTAGACCCTGTTTAGGCTCCCTTCATCTGAGCTTCTCTCACTGCTGATGGTGTGAGGATTGCTTTTGACCCCTTTGCTTGTCATTCTAACGAGGGCCGAAATGAGGGTACACAGACTCCACGGCATGACCCCATTAAACCCCGCTAAACCTTATTAAACCACATTAAGCCAATTAAACCCCAGCAAGCCCCAGTAAACCACCTTGCACCGATTAAGCCCCAGTAAACCCAGCAAACCCCATTAGACCACATTAGACCATTTAAACCCCAATAAACCCTTTTTAAGTAAACCGCATTTGGGACGTTCACAACTCCATTCCATTTGGGCCGCAGCGCCAACAGCCAGGTCGCGGGAGACCTTCTGGAGCTGTGGGGCGCTAACTTCCCAGGCAAAGCGATGGTCGAAAGCAATCCGTGTTGTGGATGCGTCTTGTTTGCCTTGTTGGATGATTTAAAGGGAAAAGACGAGACAACCATGCATTTTGGAGGTTCGCCTACTATATCAACTCATGGGTTTGAGGGGTTGAAAACCACCCTTGGGGGGCTGGTAACCATTCTGGATCACTCTCAAATCGCGAAGTGAGAACCATACCAACTCCAAATGAAGGTGCAGGTGTTTGGATAGTTGGGTCTGCGTGTGTGTGTGTGTTTGGCCTGCCTGCCTGCCTGCCCGCCTGCCCGCCTGCCCGCCCGCCCGCCTGCCTGCCTGCCTGCTTGCCTGCCTGCCTGCCTGCCCTCCTGCCTTCCTGCCTGCCTGCCTGCGTGTTTGCGTGCGTGCGTGTTTGCGTGGGTGGGTGGGTGTGTGGGTGAGTGCCCTTCACTCGGCTTGGTTTCAAGGAGCCAAGCTAAAGCATCCTTATGCCGGATGCTGGGGGGTTCCCTTGCGGTGTTCCCTACGGATTGCGGTGCTCCCCTTATCCGCCGAGAGCAGTGCTTGGCAAGATTTGTTCAAAATGGACCACTTGAAAGGGTGACCAAAAGGTTGTCTAAATAGGTCTGCGAGTGTGTTTTTGCACGAGCTCACTTGGCACGAGCACCCTCCCAAACTTGGCTGGAGCCTCCCAAAAAGCCTTCAAAACATGCGTGGCTTCCTGGCTTCCACCTTGACCCCCTCCCAAAAAAACAGGACAAATAACGCCACCCTCCAAGAAAAAAGACGGGCACTGTGGCGTGGCTTGGGTTGGAAAAGGGGTTGACCCCACCGCGATGGCCAGAGGCCACTTCCTGCTGGGCTTCGGCCGCGGGGACGCCGCGGGCCTCGTGGACGCCTTCGCCGGGACCTGCGCCGCGGCGCCTCGCTGCGAGGAGCTGCTCAGCGACGCCTTCGGCAGGACGGGAGCGAAGCGAGCGAAGCGAGCGACGCCGCTTATTTTCTGCGCGCCCACTTCCCAGCAAAAAAAGAAAATCAGAATTTAGTGACCCTGGTAATGTTGACCCATCAACAAACCCGTCCTATCATTAGGGGGGTGTTCCCTCCAAAAGTGATGAATCCCCACTCAAAGGGGACACCCCCCTGATAATCAACCAGGGTTTATTAATCCGGGGTTAACATTACTGTGCTTTCTTTGTTTGAGGCTTCTCGTTTCAGGAAACTCCTTTTGGAGGACCCATTTGGTTCCATTGTATGTTTGCCATAGGCAGGGCCAGTTTCCAGGGCAGTTGAGCTGACAAATCTATATCAAGCCAGCGCTCAGCGGGTGGTTGTCTCAGCGCAGCCCGATGTCAGGGCAGCGCGATGTGAGGGCAGTGGAAGCTTTTTCTCGGGTTTTTAGGCGAGCCACGTATGAAGGGATCGATGGTCTTTGCCCTGAATCCCCCCAAATGTCCTGAATCCCCCAGACGACAAGCCCGCAAGCCATTTTTCCCATCGATTCTTCCAAAGGCCAAGCCGCCTGGCGCCTGGCTGGGCACATCCCCTGCCTTCTCGCGCCTTGCTGCGGCGCATGGTCCGGAATCTCGAGCCCTTCGCAAGGGGATAAGGGGGGGTTGGGGGGCGGGGGGACAGGTAGGGTCAAAGAAAGGACTAGATCTTGTGGTTTTGATTTGGGTCCTTGTTGACATTGAGTATCACGATCTTTCCATCCAGTTTGGTGCCGTAGTCATTATGTCATTGCTTGTGGGCGTTCTGTTTTTCCCTCCATCGATATGTGTGCGCTTACGTTTCTGCCTTGAGCAGCTGTCAGAAAGCCGGCAGCTGCTTCACAAAATGTCCATCGCAGCTGTCGGTGGAGGCCAACTCACATGATTCACCGAGCCAGTGGATCGCAGACAAGCCCCTGGAGTTAACCCCCAGTTGCCCAGTGGTGCCCGTTGTTTTTCTCCTTTTTTTTGGGGAAGGGTTCCCCTTTAAAGTCAACCAGCCGAAACATCGGATGCCGATCCTTTTTTTCCAATGGAATTCCACTGGGCTGAGGTAACCCTTTTGCCGTTTTCCCTCAATGGGTTCTGTCAAGGGTCACGAGTGCCTGAGCCAGGTTTGGGCCAACGGGTACAGATGCTTATTTGTTTCATTGGAGGCTGAAGGCGGGAACATGGATAACTGGTAGGCAAGGAGCTATGTTCAATACTTCGAAGGGCTTTGTGGGGTGATTAGTTCGCCCCTATTGCATTCAGGCAAGGCAGCTTCCGCAGTTTAAACGACCAAACAAGGGGAAGCTGATGCAGAGCAATTTGTTCAAAGACAGCTTGGTTAGTTGGAGTCTAGAACCTGCAGTTGGGCAGCACATGAACTGTGCAGGCCTGAGCAGTGCGCACAATTTAGTTCTTTCAGCGGATCCCATGTGAGCCACAATCAAAGCCCGGGTAGATGAAGGTTGGTAAGGGACAATCCCAGCCACAAATAGGTGCGGCCGCCTTTTCAATTCCTTTCATGGCTCTGGGTTCACCATTTTTGTACCAGGTTTTGATTATGACTCATGTGTGTATGTGTGTTCAATCCTAAACTTGTGTGCTGACCTCCATTTGCCCGTTGTGGTCTATGGACCCAAAAACAGGTTGAGACAGAAACAACAGGGTACTCCTTTGGCCCGGCCTTTCAAATGCTCATCCAAGGCACGTCTATGAGCGCAATGAGAACTTGGGAGCTGGAGCCTGCGTGGCGCAATACGCGCGCGTGCTGGACGAAGCCCTTGGCCTATGAAATCAACGCGGCTGCTTTGCCTTCGCATCGTTACGCTGGTGCTCGTGCATCCGTGTCCGGCACTGGTTTCAGTTTGGGTGAATTCATGTACTAGTTCCACTTGCAAAAAAGCCACCGAGTCACAGGTCCGTTGATTTGGAGGCCGGCGAGTGTTTGCGTTGTGAGGCGACGGGCGAATTGCTGACTGTCTGATTTCATTAGATAAATGACGCTTCATTGTCGACCTATGGTGGTCTTCTCCGGGGTAGGTGGAGTCTAGCAAGGGATGGAGGGGCCATTTTGCATGCGCTGGGTGACACGGCAGCCTTTGCTGCCACGCTAAAAGGGTGACCAAGGACCAAGGATGCCTGGTCCACCGCAAGCTGAAATCAAAGAGGGGCATGTCTTGCACCATTGGCAGTCACTTTCGATGTCATGGGCCGGGTATGTTGTCGCAAAGATCGGAAGGTCTGGCCTGCAGTTCAGACTGCTTCGGCCATTCGGAGGACAACAAGATACTTCTTGTTGTTTCACGCTGTCACTCACACATCCTCGCAAGTGACAAGTCAAATGTGGAACGTGTGGTTGGAAGTGCCCTAAGTGTACATTCTGTTCCGAAAACCTGTTCAGCTTCCGACAAGATATTATACGACAATATTTATCTCACGGCCATCCATCTTGGGATTGGTACTGTAAGAATTCGCGCAACATGCAAGGATACAAACTGTTCACACGGTCATAGCCTTGCTTGCTTTCAAGTGAAGCAAACAAGCCCAGCCAAAGCTAAGCCGCCGCTGTTCAGGTTTACCTCAGTCGAGCAGCTGCACGACAGTGGCAGCGTGTGGGGGGCCTGGAGCAGAAATGGCCGTGGGTCAACACCAATGGCACCATTTTGGGGTAGGTGCACCACCATCTATTTTAGTGGGGATTGGGATGTTCACTGGGAGTACGGGGTTTACAGTAAGCGGTTGGATACTTTGGCAAACATCTTTGCCGTCAGGATGTGCGTCCAATTTGTGAGGGTGTCCCCCAATTAAGACTCAGAGACACATGGGATAAACAAAGACACGTGGCTTTGGCGCCCAGACTTCAATTCCGCCTTATGATGCTGCACATAATGCCCAGACTGAGTTTCAGTCCATGTCAGTGTGCAGAAATTGGTTGGAGTAAAGGTCAGATTGCACATCAGCTGTTTCTTTCGGCACAAACCCAGTTCATTACCCTTTTCCCCTTCTTGTTTGGTGGGTCCCCCTCTAGAAATCGTCAATACCACAACCGGGTGCTGGAGGAGCCTCAGAATATCTTGGCCCTTGGGAACTTAAGGGTCCGTGTTTGTCGTACTTTAAACATAGTATGTGTATCTATCTATATGATATAGTGACGGGCACGTGTGTACGTGTGTGCGAATATATATCTATATATATGTATATATATTATATATTATATATATATATATTATATTATATATATTATATATATATATATATTATATTGTATAGACGGTGCGTTCATGGAGCTGTTGCTGAAACCAAAGGGTCGCTGGTTCGTTCTTGGGCAGGGCACCTAGGTCGACCTTTGAACTCAAGGGGCGCTATCATTCAGCCAGCGCTAATTGTTGAAATAGGGCCTATGTCGGCGAACGTTCTCTGAGTTATTGACGTTTGGAAGCTCACGATGGTCAACATGTCACAAGAATACGCTCCCGTTTGTCATCTTACAAGGCTGCAATGAAATACGCTTGGCCCTTGCGGCTGCACATCTGACCCTTCAAGCACGCTTCTGCTGTCCAAAGCGCCAATGCCTTAAAGCAGCAAGTACATGACTCTGCTAGCTGCCATCCAGAAACAAAACAAATCACACACGTCTCCAACGAGCATATGTATGCAGAAGCACAGATACAGTGTATAAATGCACTGGGGATTTCGCAGGCAAAGAAGTGTCGTGTTGCAAAGCATGGGGTGACCCTCAAACATATGTTCCATGTATTAGATCAACATGGGGCCCCTTGTAAAGGGGTCCTTTTCAACCCAAAGATGACTTTGGTTCCATTGAAATCTGTCGGTCTTTTGGAACCATATCTTCCTGGAGCCCCGTGTTTTGAGCTCCAAGCCACCCAACCGTACACCCAGGCGCACAAACCAAGCCCTACCAGAGCCGCAACCGAACCATGCCACACGAAGCCAATCAACATGGGTGTGTGTTTTGACCCGACAAATGTGTGGGTGTCCTGTTGGTTTCCCTTTGCTAGGTCCCCCAGGAGGGTCCGCCTACTAAAATAGACTACATTAAAAAAAAAAAGAAGAAAAAGTTGGTACCCTTATTCTAACCTTTCTACTGGAGGACCTAGTTTACATCCCACCAAACAGAGGGTACCAACTCAACAAGACGAGACCCCGTGGCTTTTAGGCGCCGTGGCTCGGTGCTCGCCGCTATGCCCTACGCCTTTCCCAGTGTCCCCGGCGCGGGGTCCCGAAGAGCCGAAAGCTGGGAGAATCGGGCCGGAAGTAGCCTGGACTGCTATTGGCTTGGAGCTTTAGACTCTAATTTGTTGGTTGAAATCAAGGGGTTTTCCACTAAACCCAACAAAAAAGGTAAGCTTTTTGCAGAGGGGTCAACAGCAACCAAGTAGCAAAATGTGGCCCAGGGGTTCAAACAACCATTGAAACCATGGGCGTTCATACAACCACCATTGTTTGCCTACGGATTGTCATCATCCAAATTGAGTGGGTGCATCCCAGTGGCAAGTGATTTCGGGGTTTTTGTCTTGTTTTTTGGGGGGACCCCATTCTTGCGGGGGAATCGTTGAGCTTGAGTGTTTTGCAGGCGACACACTTCTGGTAAAGGGAAGCATGGACACGTTTTGAGGCAGGGCAACTCTGCCAATCCCAAAAACCACAAAAAGGGAAACCTAGGAAATGAAAACTTGATTCTAGGCCAGACTTATTTGCAGTCGAGATTTTCTTTCAGCTCGAGGTTAGTGCTATAGGAGTTGGATAGTATTGTTCCAGGGGAAGCTTCCCCATTCTTTGCAGGGATCCCTTCTTTCAGGAAATCAAAACTCGGAAACAGCTGGTGTTCGAAAAGAAGGATGCTTGAAAAGAATGGGGAATCAAAAATTAGAATGGATCAACTGAGAGTCAGAGTGTTGTTTCTGGCACTTGGATAGGATTTGCACGCGCGGGTGCCCACACAATTGCTGGATGGGCGAGGTCCTGTGCTTGTTGCATTGTTGTCGCTGGTTCTCCTTTGGGAGATTTCTCTGCATGTCTATGGCCTTTCTTTGGACTTGACGTTGCATTGGCCCATCGAACAGCTGCGCTCCTTTTCGCTTTCAGATGAGCGGTGAACCGGGGATTCAGCCGAAGGCAAGCCGATTTTGCCATGCAGGAACACAGCTCGCAAGTCTCAAGCTCACAGACCGGAGCCCGGTCCAATGGGTTGCATTCTGTGTCCAGACGTGTGAAATGCAATGAGTTGCTGAGGGTTGCTGTGGGGTTGCAAAGCTGGGTAGGGGTCAACATTCAGCCACCAGGGCCGCAGGTGTTGGTCCTTGTTTCTATTTACCAGGGTTCTATGTTGGGTCAATACTGATTTTTGACCCCCACCCAGCTAGAGAGCTGTCCTTTGCTCTCGGTAGCTTGTTTGGCCAGGCGGCATGGACGAGTTTGACAATCTCAGCCCCGTTTGGAAGTCTGCGAGGAGAGAAGCGACAGACCGGTCGTGCTAGTTGGTTTGCATGGGGCACTCCAAGTTCAACCCCAAGTCCATAGAAATCGGGCAATCTACGAGTCTATGGACTCACAGTTCCCATGTCCAAGTAAGTTTGACCGATGCCTCAGTGCCATGCCTCAGCAGTCTGAAGCCTCTTTGGGTTGTTGATTCCATTACGCCAAGTGGTTCCCTTCCAACAATAGACAGTTCACAACTTGACCAGCTCGTGAAGCTGCTTGGCAAGACGTTGAAAGCTCCCCACTTAGGCTCCTGTCTAGCCCCAGATCCCAGTTCCCCCTACCTGCATGTTCCTGATAGATTTCAAAGAGTTCCATCGCTTGCACTCGGAATGTGACACTTCTAGAGTTGTACGGCCGTCACATTCAAGGATATATATATATATATTTGGCGTGTGAGCGGTGCTTCGTCCATGCAAGCATGTGGCAACTGAACTCCAGGCTTTCCGTAGGCCACGTCCGCGTAGACATGGGCATGATGCTTCAACCAGTTCTTCACATTGTTTGTTTTGTTTGTGTTTGTTTTTTCCCCCGCCGATCCAATTGGATAGCTTTGAGTCAATGAGCTCGCGTTCCATGTTCGTGGGAGTTCCACTCAATTGCTTGTATTCAATGCTTGTCCCGTGGCTTGCGCGGAGGAAGTTCGCGGCGTTCGCGAGCCACGAGGAGCTCTGGGCTTGCATTGAGCAGTGCAACAGGCGCATTTGACGAGCCAGGGGAAGCCGGGCTAGATGGGTTCTAACAAGCGGGTACGGTCGAAGCCCTAAGTATTCCAAGTGCGAAGAGGACAAACAGATTGCACGGTCTACTAAAGGAAGCACTATGACATGACATCTGTAGCCCCCACTCCCCCAATACAGTGTTGGACTTGCCATATTTTGGGCCTGGGAAGAAGGGTTACGCGAATGGCTTCAACATTTTAGCTGGGGGGGAGGGGTTCGCACGCAGTGAGCGGTTCCAGAGAATCAGTGTCCACATCCCATGTGGCGGAACTTGCAATATTTAGGGCTTCCACAATATCTCGCACAAAGGGCGAAAATGAACTTAAGATCTGAGAAACTACTGGGGGCCACAACAAATGTGCTATCCTTGGTTGCTTTTATACTAACCTGAAAAGGGCACCCTCAAAAAAACACAAGCCCAAGTCAATCTTTGCATATGATGCGTAAGCAACGTCGCAAAGTGGCAAGCAAGATGACCGGTAGTTGACATAGGTGCATCTGTAGCGATAGTGTACTACAGACCTACGCTACAGGTGGCCGAGGATTTCCCCAGTTTGGCTGGTTCGACAGAAACATAGAAAGCGCGCGGTATGTGTCACAATGGTTCAGTCGCTTACAACTAGCCAAATGCATCCCTCAACATTGTTCCCCCAGAGCTAAGGTTTGCTTTGCCAAATCTGGCCAGCGGGTGCTGGTCAGGGTGCTGGTCAGGGCTGCTTAAGATGCTGCGGTGGAATCCGAAGATACATGATGCAGTTGAATTCATCAGGGCGCTGCTTTTGCTCATATATATATATATATATTAATTATATTTATATGTGCAACTCCCCCTCCCTAGCCCGCGCCTGCTGCTTCTGTAAGATTTCAGGTCATTTTACACGAATGTGGGCTCATTGCACAAGGTTGGCAGATATTTGCTTTTACTTTCTGAAACATGTATGTGGCTTTCCTCCTTATCTAGATTCGTGTTCAATCAGTTCATTCCTGTTCTGGTCATAAACTAAATTTATTTCAACACAAGTTGATTTGAACATAGCATCAGAAGCAAAGGTAGGTAAAGCGTAAAATCGAAGTTAGGTTCATACATACACCTCTGAAGCTTTTGAAGATGTCAGAGATGGTTTACAGTCAATTGAATGAGGATAACATTAGTGATAAGCAAAATTGTGATGGACACATTTCAGCAATAAAACATGAGAGGACATCACGACTTCTGTGAAAGCAGATGTTTTATTCTTGACTGTGAGAGTACCGGCACAAGGTCATCAACAATAAAACAAACAATGTCTTTTCTACTTCGCCTACGCATCTTCGATGTCTCATCTCAATTGATGTGCAAATCCTCTTCGTCTGTCAACTTACAAACCAGTGCCAATACTTGCTACGCATCTTCCATCTCTCATCCCTAAACAACTAACTTCCCTGAACGAAACTGTGCTGCACAAAAAATACTCAGACGCACGCAACACGCTCGTATTTACGCTGGTATTTCCAGTGTGTTTGTTTTCAATATCCAAGGGTGGGTGTGGATTGATTTTATTGATTCTCTGAGAATTCAGTTATCCAATGTTCAAACAGTTCAAATGCTGAAGTGTCAATTGCATTTGCATTTTCCGCCCACACTTCCAAAATAATAATATGGTGCGCAACCAAACATGAATGACTGAAAGCAGAAAAGCGCTTTTCGGCGCTTTTAATTGCGCTAAAGTGGATCTAACATTCCAGATTTCCAAGTCTATGGCCTTAAATCTTGAGCCAAGTGCACCCCCAAAACGCCGAAAAAGGCGCCAAATCGCAGGTAGCTCATGGTTAATTTTCAAGAACAAGAGTCCTGGGATATCTTGAATCCACCAGAATGAAAACGCTTTAGCGCGCTTTAAAGCGTTTTAGGGGCCCCAGGCTGGATTCAAGATTCCAGATCTAAGGTCCTGAGAGTCTTGAATCTTGAATCCAACAGTGTTTCAAAGCACGTTAAAACATTTTAGGTGGATAGAGGTGCAGTCAAACGTGCAGATGCAGGCATGTTAGATATGGTCAAAATTGGGGTCAAAATTGAGGTGCCGGAAAAGGGGATGGAAATCACCCAAAAGTACTGTAAATACCATCAAATTATCTTGGTGATTTTTTGTTGTTGTTGGGCTTTTGTGTGTGGGGGGGGGAGGTACCGTGTATATAGAAATATATACATAGCGCACAAAGATGGTTCGTGGTTGCTCGTCAACTGGCTCAAACAGTAGTTTGGGCCACCATGGAATAGAGTCCTTGCTTGTGTTGTCCAGTGCATGGCGTACTTTGTTCATGAACAGCTGACCTTGGGATGGAAGAGAGGCTTCCATGCATCTTTTTGCGGGTTTTCGGGCTTCGCAGGCTTCAGCGGCCGCAGATGTTCAACGAGGTCCTGGAGGAAAAGACGCCACAAATCTCAGCGAGAAATGGGAATGAGACATGGAATGACCCCTAGAATAACAACCCAACTGGTGGCTTGCTAGGGGACCAAAGCCTGGGTTGATTCCCTCATGCTGAGCACCAGCAAGTAGACAATGCGAACAGATGTTGCCATGCGTCAAGGGTGGTTCCTTTTGGTTGGTTTCGCATTGGGCAGCGAAAGTGGCTGAAGCGATAGGCCGGATATTCTTTCTCAAGAGCTCGCGGAGCACGAAGCCCACTGCCACTGCCAGTGTATTGCAGTTCCTCGAACGTCCGATCTTGAAGTCGGAACCTCCTTGAAGATGACATGCAAAAGTCCTGATGCCTTGCATCAGAAAGCGGCCGTTCTTGGCCCAATGTGACTCGAGGCCGCGCTGCCTTTACTTCGACTTGGACGGCCCTGCAGAGCACAAGCGTGGGGCAGCCCAGGCAAATGGGACAAATCATCGGTTTTCTCGGAATCCCGGTTTTTGTTTTTCTTCCCCAAAAAAAGGAGTGGTTGCCCTGTTTAAAATCAACCAACAGGGCCCCGATCTGTGTTTTCCCCCATGGCTAGGGGTCCTTTTGAAGTAGGATTCTCGGGTTGCCCTGAATTGGCGGGGACTGGATTGGTGGGATTTGGGAAACCACCCCCAGAACACCAAACCAAGCCACCAATTTGTTGAGCGGCTTTTTGATTGCTTGCTCGAATGTCTTTTGTGAGGTTCGAGTTCATTGCTCCTCAAGCTGTTTGGTTGCAGGATCGGTGTAATCTTATGGGATCTTATGGGGGGAAATACTGATGTCATTCAGTTGCTAGCTCCATGTCGAATGTATGTAATTGTGTTTGTCGAAGAGTTAGCAATCGGATCCTGGCCTACTGCTTGACCTGGGTCATGGGTTCGCATGCACTTGCGCGCTGCAATGCAAGGAGTCAACACTGTGCCTTGGGCAACTGTGACGACATGTCAACTGGTGGAAAATCGGAGCATCCAAGCCAGAATCTTGCTGCAGGTTTCTTTGCTTCTAGCCAGCTGGATGATTCCTGGATGATCTAAGCCGAATTCTTTGTAACATCCTACACGGGTCCCAACGCAGCTCTTCCAGAATCACTCTCCTCATATCTAAAATGTCCGACGATGGGCAGCACCTTTCAGATTCATTGCATTGGCACTCCTCCAGTCTAAAGGGAGCAAAGCTCGAAATTTCGTGCATGTGGTACTTCAGATTCCCAAAGGCGCAACTATTGAAAGTAAAGCCCAGGTTGTTCTCCTTGAAGTTAAGCTGCTCTGCGAGAGATACAAAATCACCGAAGGCAATCACGACTTCATCATCGAACATCTCCAGTGGTACGTGGAGACCATCTTCTGCGGGGACCGGAATCGTTGGCGAAGCCACGCGGTACATGCAAAGAGCACTGAGGATTTCAAATCCTCAAAGTTCAGGTTTGCAACGCTTCACCCCTCTGAAAGTGCACAGAAGGTATTAGAAGTGTCACTCAGTGTGTAGCAAGAGAGGGTCCTCACTTCATGCTGGCAGCTAAGAAGCCGAGATTGCGGGTAGCTCTCAACAGGAACGAGGCAACCAGCATAGCTGAGTGAAGCCCAACATATTCCAATACCCTTCAGCAAATGTTGCCAAGCTAGTGAATGTGTTCTGCCGAGAGCTTGCCGAGGTGAACAAGCTTACTATGAAGGAAATTATTCTTACTTAGTGATCCGCCCTATGCCTGTGGAATGTTGTTGCTGTTTGGTGCTCCAGGTGGTTAGGTTCTTTCCAAGAGGCATCCGTTTGGCTACGTTCAACATGAAGCCATTGGACAAGATCAAAGAAGATGTTCTTTGAGAAGTGGACCAAGTTATGAATGGATCTCGCGTTGCAGGCACAAAGCCGAAAAGGCCATTGCCATTCTTGGCTTGCAAGGCCATTGCCATCGAAGCGGATAAATAACCAAAGGTCCACAAGGCAAACCTGCATCAACGAAGCTCAAACGATCTTAAGTTCCTGGGCTCTTGAAATTTGTGAGCCCCTTCAGGGCTCTTGCTTCCGCTTACCTGTTCCAGCAGCCCAACAACTGCTTCAACCATGTCCAAAAAGCTGTGGGTTGGGAGGTGCTGAGGTGGCTGTGGGTCCAACCAATGGTACACTTTTGGGGTAGGTGCACCACCCATTATGGAACCTATCTTAGTGGGCTTGGGATGTTCACCGGGGCTACGATTTGGCTTTTGACCCACAGCCAGGTGATGTTTCAAATTGTCCACTCCCTCGGTCCCAAATCCCATCCGTTCGCCGTCGCTGTCCCGAGTGTCCCGCCTTCAGGACATGATGGGCTGGTCAAGGCCAGAGCCTGTGGCCGGGGCACCGAGGCCGAGCTTTGGAGGGTTTTGTGTATTATTTTTACTTACTGTTGTGGAGGTTTGGAGGTGTGTGTGTGTGTGTTTTGTTTTTCTTCGGTCTGCCTTTCAAAGCAACCCAAACAAGGGGGTCGATCAAAAAGAGACCCCAGAAATACCGGAGAACTTCTTCCATGGCTACTTTTACTACAGAAAGAAATGCACCTGCTTTTCGTGGGAGAAGTACAAATTCAGGGATCCACATTGTTCACTCTCTTTAGTCATGGGGAATGATGATCCCTTCTGGTTCCTGCCTTCTACCTGCACAAGCTGACCCTTCGTTTGGCGGTCTTACCTGCGCTGCACTCCCCGAAAAAGCTTGTGCTCCTGCAAGGAGAACCACTAAGAATAACCTCGATGGAAAAACAAAGCACACACACGCCCTGAGGGAAGTATTTTGTAGTCGGGGACCACACTTTCCTAGACCCAGTGTTTGGGGCTTTGTTGTTTGTGTTTGTTTGTGTTTGTGTTTGTGTGTTTGTCGCGAGTGGCTCTTGTTTTGTTTCTGTTCCCGCTGTGCAAATGGCTGCCGACTTTGGCCAACGAATGGGGCTGCTCAACATAGATCCTCAATTCCTCAGAACAAGATTGTACAATCCCCCAAGGCAAAGAGATGTCAAGGATTGATCCATTAGCATGTCCCTTGGGTGTGTTGGTGTTCTCGCTCTTGTTCTCCAGCTTCTGAAAAGTATTATCTGATATGTGTAGCTTGCTTGTAGGGTACTTCCAATTTCTTTTCTATATATAGCACCTGCCTAGCATATACACTATGGGCACGTGTCTAGCATGACTTGCGGATATGTCTAGCACACCTTCCATATTGTATAGTATATTTGGAGAAGTTTCAGACTGTGTAGGGTGCATTCCTATCATATGCCTATCATATGTCCAGCATAGTTGTATGGCATTTCTACTGTATTTGGTTTCTATTGTGTGATGCACATGTTCAGCATAGATTCTGGATAGTCCTATCATGCTTTGCAGCATGGGTCAAGTGCATCTCTAAGTGTGCCTAGCTTAGGCTCGAGTGTGTTTGCAATTTATGCACATATAGCTAGCATATTTCAGGCCTGCTGCTGCTGCTGCTACAACTGCTGCTGCTGCTGCTGCTGCTGCTGCTGCTACAACTGCTGCTGCTGCTGCTGCTGCTGCTGCTGCTGCTGCTGCGTCTGCTTGTGCTGCTGCTTCTGCTTGTGCTGCTTGTTCTGCGTCTGTCTCTGTGTGTGTGTGTGTCTCTCTCTCTCTCTCTCTGCCTCTCTCTCTGTCTCTCTCTCTCTGTGTTTCTCTCCGTCTCTCTCTCTCTCTCTGTCGTGACTCTGTGTTTCTATGTCTCTTTGTCTCTGTGTCTCAGCGAGTCTGTGTCTGTGAAGGCAGGCAGTTGTTTGCTGTATTCAAACTGCCGAGAGCAAGTGAGCGATAGAGAGAGAAGGCAGAGATTTGAAACCCGAAATCCCCAAGGCCAAACATTTTGAGCGCCCAGGTGCTTCAGTCCAATCAGGAGAACAAGTACTCCAGTCATGTACTGTGATGCCGGCGCAGTTGTGCTTCCGGACTGGAGTTTCACTGAGAGACTTGAGAGACTAAGCAATGAGACCGGGAGCCATGGTTCGAGGATTCGAGTAATCTTAATGAAGGCGCGAGCCAGCTTGTTGAGTTGCGAGGCCGAGTCATTCGTACTCGAGCTCGGGAGTGGTCTGGAATGCAGCTGGTGAGAGCCAAAGAGTCCCAGGATCTTCCAATTTTTGCGAATCCAAGCGAACTGCCAACTGAATGAGCTACGTCACTGTTTCATTTCTCAGCCTCGTAGACCGTTCCGAAAGCTGTGATAGATGCAGGCCGTTAGCTGTATTTGAGCCATTCTGGCCACCACACGGAACCACGATCGCGCCATCGATGAAGCAAATAAAGGTTGTCTGGAATCTGGAAGCAGCCTGGAAGCAATGCTTGTCAGCGGTGCGTGGAACGGAGCTTTGGCACTGATCTGATTCTTTGCGACGGTATGTTTTGTATTGCTGAGGGCTGGTGCCAAGAGTGATGCGGTCGATGCCTTTGACCTGCTCTTCTACGCACGGGGCCGGTGGCCCTTAGCAATAGCAGCAAATCCTGCATTCATTCTGGCCCACAAGACGGCTTTAGCGAGGCTGCACCGATGCGACTTCATTATCTGCAGAGTCGGTGTTCCATCTTGCACACAAGGGCACATCCCAAACCCGCGTCTCTTGAGTGCTTGACGCGTGACGGCGAGTTTCTGCATGTGGACAGGCCATAACTGGTACACAATCACGGCACCTGCGCCAAGAGACAAGGGCCGCATGGTAGGTGTAAGTTGCTGTCAGAGCCACAAACCTTAGCTGTTGATTGTGCGCATGTTTGCTTTTTCCGCGTCGCCTTTGGAACCTTGGCGCCCACATAGGCAGCGAGGGAGGGTGCATGTGACTTGACCTGAGGCTTACTTAAAGCTGTGTCATTCCCGACCTAAATCCGCCTTTGCCCAACCTGAAGCGCGGCGCCAAACTACACCCACCCCTACACCAACATGCTAAACTAACCCGCAAGCCCACCTTAAACCCATCTTAGCCCCGCCCTAAATCTGCCTAAGCCCGCCCAAATGCCGGAATCAACCTGCGGGCTGTTGCACCGCAATGTCCCGACCACATGTCAGCGAATATCCTGGCTTCATAGCGCCGAGCGACCTGATGTGGTTGGTTTCACGTGTTTGCGACGATTGAGGATCGACACCCTCCCTTTCCAGTGTAGAAGCAAATCACAATTTGCACGTCGCAAACGAGAAATAAACTGTTTGGCCTTAGAGTCTTGAAATTGGTGACTATGCGTTCTTGGTCTGGCATGGTAAATCATAAAACTACACGGCCACCACAAGCTGATTTGGGCAAAGTCTGTGGAACAATCCCAGCCTGCGGGGTGTGTTTCATGTCATCCATACCGCAACTGCTCATCCAAGCCAAGCCATGCGTCTACGTTTGGAGGGACTACGACCTTTGTCGGCGAACCCACCATCCAACAAACACCATGACCCAAAGGTCGGCCATTGTCCAGATGCGACTTGTGATGTATTCTGGTTGCCTTGGCCCCACATGTTGGCTTCCAACTGAATTATAATGTATAAAGCCTTTGTTTTTGTTGATGTTTCTTTTGAGGAGGTCTGAGGATGTAGTCGGTGATTTTTTCCCCCTTGGCGCAAATTCTGACTATTTCACGCTGACAGGACAATATATGTGTTTGCAGAGGCGTGGTGGGTCACGAACGGCGTCCCCAAAGATCAATGGAAATCTGTTCGAGTGTGCAAACTCAATGCCAGAATGCCAGGTTTCCACAGATCCAGTTCAAAGACTTCCGGCTGTGAGCCCTAGTTTATGATGTTCTTCGAGAGCCGAAAGGAAATCCCCGAATTCGCTTTCGCACAGCTGCCTTTGTTCAATTGTTGCTCTGTTCATGCCCCTTCAAAAGGGGCCCGATTTGCCCAACACATTCACGTTTGTTGCGACATCCGTGAGTAGCTCGCTTTCCTGCTAGCTCTGCCCAATTTTGGCAGAAGGTCCCGCAGTCAGCGTAAGACCCTTTCTTGCTGGCTGACAATAAGTCGAAATTAAACAACAAGCATCATCAGATCATCATGCAGTCGTCCCGGATAGTTTAACCTGGTGTGGTTTGTTTATTGCTTCCATTGGTTGGTTCGGTTGGTTGATTCAGTTGGTTTGAATCTTGCTGATTGAGTTATATTGAGTCTATGCTCGGGTGTTCGCTTGATTGTTTTTCTTGGTTGATGTGTGTAGTTGGCTTGACCCAAAGCAGCCTCAGACAGCACACACCACAAGGAATGTATGATATTCGTCAATTATGCAGTGGCATTCGTAATCCAATTTGGTGCCAAATGGCGTCACGGTAGGCGCAATATAAGTGTTAACCTTCCTTGGATTTGTCCTCATTTGTCGCGCGCGGTATTTGCTTTGCAACACAGGAAGCTTTCAATTCATGTTTGCACCTTGGTGAACATTCCTCAAGGGAGCATCTCGATTGCCAGATGGAGCTCTGAACTCACATTGCCTCTGAGGCACCAGAACAAGTACATGAAGATCTTGCTGCGAGGGACTGGGTTGTGTGTGCGGCACCCAGACAAAACTTAAAATTGGTTTGGCATCACTGTGTTCCTTCAGCTTTCCTGTGGCCGGGCCTCTTTGCTTCACGATGTGTTGGTCAAGGTGTATTTGCTTCACTGTATTTAGTTGAATGCAATTGATAGAACTGGAGCGCGTAGGCATGCAGGCAGATTAGGACACGTTTGTGGGTCTGGATAGGATGTGGGGCGGTCCTCATGAGATTTGGATGCAGGAGTACCCGTTGGCTAAACTTGGTTATCTCCAAGCATGGAAGCCAGAGAGAACTTCCGGAAGATCACTTTCCTTTTGGGGAAGCCCTCTGTCCACTTCCATGTTGGACAGCGGGTAGCAGCGGATCAGATTCGCTTCCATCGGTGCTGCGCTTCGGGGTGCATGTCGCTACATCCAGCTGAGAGCATGGCTTTGACACGCTTACAGCTGCCATGTTTGTTATGTTATGGGTTTCTTGATTTGGATTCAGCCTTCTTTGATCTTGTATGGCACTTCCTGTTGCTGGTTGGATCTCGATCTCAATTTCCGCGAGGTGTTTTTGCATGTAAGTGCATACGCGAGATTAAGTGCAATGATCTATCATCCGTGGGATTAGTAAGATATACATCCGTTCAGAAATGTGATACTTATGTGTAGATGACATGTTTGTACGAAACACACATGTGTCCAGGGATCATGGAACACTGAAGCTGTTGTGTGTGTATGTTTCTGGGTTCCTGCGTGCTTGGATAATGGATGTCTCCCTTTTGCAATTTGACAGATACCCCGGAATTGTGTTGCCATTTTCCCGGAACCGCTTGCCGTGGCAGTTTTGGAGCCCACGATTTGGGAAGCCTGGTTTACGAACCACGGATTGAGAAGGCTCGCTTCTCGATTTCATGGGCTTTAAACGTTTCATGGCCAACAACACGTGTGGGCTCTTTTTGGCCAATCCATCAAGGTGGAGAAGCTTCATGCAATCCCTATTCAGGAGTCATCAGGACATGTCCAGTGCCCCTGTTGCAGACTTTGAGGCCGGACAACGCCTTTTGATAGGGGCTGCCAAGGTTGCGAGGGTCACATAAATCGGCACAGACCTTTGATCCAACTCTGTTGCGAGGTGCAAAGTACCGCGTTGTATTACGGCCTTTTTACGCTGTTGAACGGAGTTGGTGCAGGTCATGTCGAAAGGAGCTCTCGAAGCAAGATGGGAAATCAACATCGCAAATGATGTTCACCCAGTCATGCCATCAACTCACTTTGTTTGGAGATTCCTGTCTGGGACTGGGGTGGGACAGCCATGCAAGGGGGTTAGTTGCAATCGCAGATATTGTTCAAACAGCATCTCTAGTAAGGAAACTGCAGAAACCTAAGTTGACCCCACTGCGAGGAAGGGTTCTGAGAAGGGCCCTGAGAACCTATCTGGCTGCGCCCCAATGTTTCCGCTGCGGGCATTGGCCCCTCAGGAGGTGAACTTGGACAACAATGAGAAGCTTCTGCTTTTGAAGCAGCTGGTGGATCGTCGCCCCGGCCCTTTGCACTCAGATATGTCCAGTGTCGAGGAGAAGCTTTTGGATCGCATGTGTTTTTTGCTGCATCAAGTTCCTTGGTTAGAGATGACAGCTTGGTTGGCTTCATTGGACGCAGACCTGGCATTGTTTCAGGAGGTTCTTTTTTCAGTCTGTCTGCCAGCTGCCCTCTCTGCAGTGGCATTGTCGCGGGGGGATCCTATTGAAGGTATGCATTTTGACGGAGATGACAAAGCTAATGGTGCTGTGGCCATTGTCCAGGGTGGACACGACAGGGTGGTTGTTTGGACTTTCCCGGCATTAAGGCATTAAGGCATGCCTGAAGCAAATGGAGGCCAAGGCGACTTAGCTGAAGCGAACCACTTTGGTTTGGACAGCTCCAATAGCAAGCCCTCGGAGCTTTTCACATCCAACGGGGTGCCACGCGTCACAGGAGCACTTGAAGTGACAAGGTGAACTTTGCGGCAGTCTGGCAGTCAAGGTCTGAAACATTAACGCTTGTCATGTAGCCAAGCAAGCTTGGACTTATCAAGGCCGAGATGCACTAGATATTTGGTGATTTGGACAGGAAACTTTGGTAGGTTATGCAACATCGCAAGATGTCTTGTGCGATGAGGATGCACTTGGCCTTTGTAAAGAAGACATTTGGTGCTGGCAATAACCCCAATACCATCAGGTGGCCATGCTTATATACTTTAGAGCCTCCGGCTCAGTCCGCCGACATTGTCCTCTCCCTTTTCTCCTGCTTCCTCTCTCCCTTGTCTCCCTGGTGTGTTCTGTCGTCCTCTCTCCCTCCCTCCGCTCCCCATCCTCCCCATCCCCCCAAGCCACTCTCTCCCCAATCTCCCTCTCTCGTATGTATGTATGTATGTATGTATGTATGTATGTATGTATGTATGTGTATGTATGTAATGTATGTAATGTAATGTAATGTAATGTAATGTAATGTATGTATGTATGTATGTATGTATGTATGTATGTATGTATGTATGTATGTATGTATGTATGTATGTATGTATGTATGTATGTATGTATGTATGTATGTATGTATGTATGTATGTATGTATGTATGTATGTATGTATGTATGTATGTATGTATGTATGTATGTATGTATGTATGTATGTATGTATGTATGTATGTATGTATGTATGTATGTATGTATGTATGTAATGTAATGTAATGTAATGTATGTATGTATGTATGTATGTATGTATGTATGTATGTATGTATGTATGTATGTATGTATGTATGTATGTATGTATGTATGTATGTATGTATGTATGTATGTATGTATGTATGTATGTATGTATGTATGTATGTATGTATGTATGTAATGTATGTAATGTATGTAATGTATGTATGTATGTATGTATGTATGTATGTATGTATGTATGTATGTATGTATGTATGTATGTAATGTATGTATGTATGTATGTGTATGTGTATGTAATGTATGTGTATGTGTATGTGTATGTATGTATGTATGTATGTATGTATGTATGTATGTATGTATGTATGTATGTATGTATGTATGTATGTATGTATGTATGTATGTATGTATGTATATGTAATGTATGTATGTATGTATGTATGTATGTATGTATGTATGTATGTATGTATGTATGTATGTATGTATGTATGTATGTATGTATGTATGTATGTATGTATGTATGTATGTATGTATGTATGTATGTATGTATGTATGTATGTATGTATGTATGTATGTATGTATGTAATGTATGTATGTATGTATGTATGTATGTATGTATGTATGTATGTATGTATGTATGTATGTATGTATGTATGTATGTATGTATGTATGTATGTATGTATGTATGTATGTATGTATGTATGTATGTATGTATGTATGTATGTATGTATGTATGTATGTATGTATGTATGTATGTAATGTATGTATGTATGTATGTATGTATGTATGTATGTATGTATGTATGTATGTATGTATGTATGTATGTAATGTAATGTAATGTAATGTAATGTAATGTATGTATGTATGTATGTATGTATGTATGTATGTATGTATGTATGTATGTATGTATGTATGTATGTATGTATGTATGTATGTATGTATGTATGTATGTATGTATGTATGTATGTATGTATGTATGTATGTATATGTATGTATGTATGTATGTATGTATGTATGTATGTATGTATGTGTATGTATGTACGTATGTATGCATGTATGTATCTATGTATGCATGTATTCATGTACTATATGTATGTATGTATGTAATGTATGTATGCATGCATGCATGTAATGCATATGCATGTATGTATGTAATGTAATGTAATGTAATGTAATGTAATGTAATGTAATGTAATGTAATGTAATGTAATGTAATGTAATGTAATGTAATGTAATGTATGTATGTATGTATGTATGTATGTATGTATGTAATGTGTATGTATGTATGTATGTATGTATGTATGTATGTATGTATGTATGTATGTATGTATGTATGTATGTATGTAATGTAATGTATGTATGTATGTATGTATGTATGTATGTATGTATGTATGTATGTATGTATGTATGTATGTATGTATGTATGTATGTATGTATGTATGTATGTATGTATGTATGTATGTATGTATGTATGTATGTATGTATGTATGTATGTATGTATGTATGTATGTATGTATGTATGTATGTATGTAATGTAATGTAATGTAATGTAATGTAATGTATGTATGTATGTATGTATGTATGTATGTATGTATGTATGTATGTATGTATGTATGTATGTATGTATGTATGTATGTATGTATGTATGTATGTATGTATGTATGTATGTATGTATGTATGTATGTATGTATGTATGTATGTATGTATGTATGTATGTATGTATGTATGTATGTATGTATGTATGTATGTATGTATGTATGTATGTATGTATGTATGTATGTATGTATGTATGTATGTATGTATGTATGTATGTTGTATGTATGTATGCATGTATGTATGTATGTATGTATGTATGTATGTATGTATGTATGTAATGTATGTATGTATGTATGTATGTATGTATGTATGTATGTATGTATGTATGTATGTATGTATGTATGTATGTATGTATGTATGTATGTATGTATGTATGTATGTATGTATGTATGTATGTATGTATGTATGTATGTATGTATGTATGTATGTATGTATGTATGTATGTATGTATGTATGTATGTATGTATGTGCATGTATGTGCATGTATGTATGTATGTATGTATGTATGTATGTATGTATGTATGTATGTATGTATGTATGTATGTATGTATGTATGTATGTATGTATGTATGTATGTATGTATGTATGTATGTATGTATGTATGTATGTATGTATGTATGTATGTATGTATGTATGTATGTATGTATGTATGTATGTATGTATGTATGTATGTATGTATGTATGTAATGTATGTATGTATGTATGTATGTATGTATGTATGTATGTATGTATGTATGTATGTATGTATGTATGTATGTATGTATGTATGTATGTATGTATGTATGTATGTATGTATGTATGTATGTATGTATGTATGTAATGTATGTATGTATGTATGTATGTATGTATGTATGTATGTATGTATGTATGTATGTATGTATGTATGTATGTATGTATGTATGTATGTATGTATGTATGTATGTATGTATGTATGTATGTATGTAATGTATGTATGTATGTATGTATGTATGTATGTATGTATGTATGTATGTATGTATGTATGTATGTATGTATGTATGTATGTATGTATGTATGTATGTATGTATGTATGTATGTATGTATGTATGTATGTATGTATGTATGTATGTATGTATGTATGTATGTATGTATGTATGTATGTATGTATGTATGTATGTATGTAATGTATGTAATGTATGTATGTATGTATGTATGTATAATGTAATGTAATGCAATGCAAGGTAAGGTAATGTAATGCAATGCAATGTAATGTCAAGTATGTATGTATGTAATGTATGTAATGTATGTATGTAGGTCCGTCAGTCTGTATGTACGTATGTACGTATGTATGTATGTAATGTAATGTAATGTAATGTAAAGTAATGTAATGTATGTATGTAATGTAATGTAATGTAATGTAATGCAATGCAATGTAATGTAATGTATGTATGTATGTATGTAATGTATGTATGTAGGTCTGTGTGTCTGTCTGTATGTATGTCTGTATGTATGTATGTATGTATGTATCCTTGCACTTCCCCTTTGCTTTCCAGTATTTCCCGCAAAATACACGGTTTTTCCCGCGTTTCGCAAAGAGGATGTCCAAAAACACAGAGTTTTGCCAGATTTTCGGCAAAAGGATGCAGGAAGCCCAAGCCAGCAAAAAAGCCGGCAGGGGGAATCGAGCCTGGGACCCCTGTTTTGCGACACCGGCTCCCCGAAGACTACGTTTAGTGGAACGTCATCAAATTGCCGCGCGGTACGTGGCCCCCCCCCCCCCCCCAAAAACCTACGTTGACGTCGGGCGGGGGGGGGGGGGGGGGGGGGTTATCCTCTATCCTCTCTTAGGTGTCCGACACGCCGAGCAATGTCGGCGGATATATATATACATATGCTCCATTCATTTGTACAGACCATAAACAGCAGGAATGTCCATATATATATATACGCATGTTTTTGTCGTTTTGACGTCACTGACCTATACTTCATGCACAGTTCCTTTTATGGATTACTTTGCTGCCAGAAACTCAAACCAGGTCATTCAAGGTCTTTCTTTTTTATTGAGTAGCTCCGATGTCAGAAGCCCGTGAAATATGTCTGGAAACGGCCCTGAACGCCTCCAATGCGCTCTTTCTCAAGAACTTGTCCAGACCTTGCAGCAGTAGGACAGAGATGCCCGTAGGCAATCTGTCTCCCACTCTTCAGAAACAAGTAAAGGCTGAGGATTTGTTTTGCATTTGTTGAGGCCGTGCATGTTTAACAACCCAAAGCTCCAAAACCTGCACAGGCTCAAAAATGCAAAGCATCCAAAGCTAAAAGCTCTAAAACCTTCGCAGGCTCAAAAATGCAAAACATCCAAAGCTAAAAGCTCTGAAACCTGCACAGGCTCAAAAATGCAAAACATCCAAAGCTAAAAGCTCTGAAACCTGCACAGGTTCAAATAATGCAAAACATCCAAAGCAAGAAGCTCCAAAATCTGCACAGGCTCAAACAAATGCAACACATGCATATACCAAAGAAGCCCTGACCTCTGACATTGCATCTGGGTTTTGCATGCTTGGCATTTGTTTGAGCCTGTGCAGGTTTTGGAGCTTTCATATTTGGATTGTTTTCATGTTTGAGCCTGTGGAGTGTTTGATGATTCAACCATCAACAATGCAAACAGACAGGTGTGTTTTTGCGCACTGCAAAAAACAGTGTTTTCAACACTGACAAAGTTGCATCTGAAACCGCTTTCCGTTTTTCGTGTTTTTGCATCAAGCACACAAAGAACATATGGCCCAATATAAGAAATCTCACAAAACACTGTAAATGGCAGTGCTGGCTGCAAGGCATTTGCAAACCACGTAGACACTCTGCAAATAAATCTATTTTGTGCAACGAGTAGAAGGTGGGCCCTTCGGGGGGTCTATATATACATACATATATGTGTACATGTGTATGATTATATATATATACACCCCTTGTATAAGCCTAGTATACAAGCCTTGTACAACCTTTATTTCTCCTTTGGCTTAGGGTAGTGATTTGCAAGTAGTGATCCCCTGTAGACCATGCAATGCCCAGTATGATCATGCTCCAGTCTGTTCAATCTCGCACTTGCTTTGCCAGCTTCGCCCTACAAGAGCCTACAGCTCTTCCGCGGGCCTTTCGCGTGCAAGCTGCACGAGGAGGAGCTGACGCGAAGGGAAGATTCCCAATGCAAACACGGATCCTGTCAATACCACTGCAAACCCCAAATTACCAAGCTACGCATTCGAAGCATTTGAACGAACGATGGCGCGTCATAAATCTCACAATGCTTTGCCAAGTGCTGCATGTGTAGCGCATGTCCTGCTCTGGAATGGGTTTGTCCTTTAAACGAAACAGTAGACCCTTGCAGAATCTTTTGCCTTTGCAACCTGCTTTGCCATTTCACCTACACCGCTGTGCAGATGTCGGAAAGTGATGCAGCAGAATCGATGTCTTACACTTGCAGGTGGTGACGAAACAAAGAACGTGTTGCTGCTGTTTCATGTTGCAAACAAGTCGGCCACAATGTTCACATTGTGTCCTTAGGCCGTGAGGTCGTGCATAAGGCCCATATGGGTATGGATCAAAATTAATTCACCAGGGGGCCGCAGGTTTTAGTCCCTGTTTCGATTTACTAGGGTTCCATTTGAAGTACCCATGTTTGACCCACGACCATATCTCAAGCAAATCAAGTCCGTGCCTGCAAGCGTCAATGTTGCCTGCTATCTTGCTTGCAGGAATCTGAAGTCCGGGTTCAGTGGTTAAAACTTTCTCGCTGAGTTATTTGCTGGCAATCGAGTGGAAGTCTGGCAACACATCAGACCATGAGTGACAAAGTAAGGCTGTTGTGGTTGCTTGGAGCTTACAAGCCCATCCTTAACTCAACCAGGATTGCTTTCAGCCAGTAGAAGAAGCCCAGGATTTGAAGATAGTTAGCCTTGACGTGCCTTGATCAAATAAGTCATTTCAATCATGTCAATGTGTATTGCTTGAAATGACCATGGGCAAGTGGCGGATCCGTTCATACTCTGGTTGCTTGCGCATTCTGCAACACAGAAAACCTTGGTAGTCAGAAGTGAAGGCCAATGCTGGCTGAGGTGGTGCTCATGAAAATAATCCGGTCTCCAGAGCTTGGCTAGTCCCGTGCACTGATTGTCACAATTTGGCCTTCGCAATTTTATATGGGCACCCCAAAAAAGGGTTTTCCAGATGCATGAGCCCCTTGCTTTTGCGTTTGAACAGTTGAGGGATGCGAATACTGCAGACCCTTTTATTGCCCAAAGGAAAAAGGGCGCCGAGCTATAACAGGTTATGAGCCCAAACTGCTCGCGCACATGGAGCTGATGAGGAGGCGGCGTTCCGGCCGGGTAAGCCCTGGCAGGGAAGCTGAGGAGAGCCGGGCACCGGCCGGAGACGACGCGCTGGTGGCGGACGAGGCGGGTGAGCCTGAGAAGGAAGGGCCGATGGGCGGTGGAGCAATCCGGGATGCCCATTCGGCAGATGGCCGGGGCGGAGATCACGGAGATGTTTCGCGGGCAAGATCAGCGTCAAGAACCAGAGGAGGTGTGCCGCAGGCGCTGAGGCCGGGAATGGATGATGAACAAGTGGTGGAAGCAGAGGACAGATCGCGGAGCGCTTCGGCATCTAGGCGATGGAGTAGTTCGAAGCTGAGCTCTATGGGATCCGGGCGGGAGAGCTCTTCAAAGGCGAGCCCTACGGCATCCGGGAGAGGGAGCTCTACGGAACCGAGCTCTACTACCCGAAGGTCGAGGTCGGTAGAGAGGAAAGGTGGAGAATTTTTTTTTCTGGTCTGAAAGAGTTCAGGAGGAGATGAGGTTGAGAGAAGCAAGACCGGAAGGGTTGCCGCCGGTTCCGGAATCCGGTGATGAGGAGGAAGTGGCGAGGACACCTTTGAGGGCTGCTCAGGAGGAGACCGCAGCGCAGAGGAGGAAGGCCAGAGCCTTTATGACACCGGAGGAGCGTGCCGTGGAGGAGAAAAGAGAGCGGGCTTTGCAGGCGGTCAAGGAAGACATGGAGAAGAAAAGGAGCGGTCTGGAGGTGACGCCTCGAGGAGATGGCGCAGGGAGCGCCAAGGACCGGGTGGATTGCGAGGCAGATGAGAAGGAGCTGGACCGGGTGTTCGTGGAGGAGTACGGAACGGTCAGCATGAACCTGGCGGAGGCGCTGAGGCAAAGGAACGAGCTGAAGAACAAGGTGGAGCGTCTTGAGCTCGAGAAGGTGGTGATTGAGAGTGAGGCGGAGCAGCATAAGCGGATGGCGGAGCTATGGGAGTCTAGGGCGCTGCAAGCTGAACGTCATGTGGATTGCTGACGGACCAGATCTTGGTGTTGGAGCAGCAGCCGCAGCCGCAATTTCACACGCCACAGCAGGAAGAGGAGGTGAAGCCACCGAGGATGGAGACACCGCCACCGCCACCCCCGCGGAAAAGGCAGAAGCTGGAAAGAACCCCTGGTAGGACTAGGTTGCCGGAAGGACCTCCGCCGGACGAGGAATGGCCCTGTGCGTGGAAGTTTGCTGACGTTTGGTGACTGGATGGCGACCATCGAGCACAACGTGAAGGACATCTCCACCTACAGCGCTATGTGGTGGGAAGATGTGTGCGACAGCGCCAAGGTGGCCTACGCAGAGTGGTTGGTGGCCAGTCCGCTGGAACGGTTGCGGATCAAGCCCGAGCTGCCGGTTGTCTGTTTGGATTTGCCGCGGACGGAACAGAGGGGGGTGGCCATGGTCTTGAAGGCCCTCCCGGAGCAGGTGAAGAAGGAGCTGGTCGCGAACAGGCAGCTCAGCATGGTGAACATCATCTACAGGCTGTACATCTTGTATCAGCCGGGAGGAGCATCCGAGAGGCAGTAGATCCTGAACGCACTGCTCGGAGGTGGCCAAACAGTTGGAGGCATTGGCGGAGGAGAGCGTTGGAGCTGGGAGTGGCTCTGCCGGACGCTACGCTGCTGGTGTCGGCCCTGGACAAGTTTGCGGCGGCATTGTCGAAGTTGGATCAGCAGAGCAGCTACCGGATGTCGACGGTGAGGGCCGAGCTGAGCCTGGATCCCAGGCCGACGCAGGAGGGAGTTGAGAGCTTTGCGGAGTATCTCCAGGCGGAATCCGAGACGGCGGAGCTCTCAATAGGAGGGAAGGAGGGGGCGCCCAAGATCAAGGCGATGGGTGTTGCGGGCAAGGAGGAGACGGTCCCATGGAGGCAGCAGGGACAAGGAGGAGCTACTCCGGGGAAACAGAGGGTGGTGGACCAGGGCCTGCAAATGATATGCCACGGACGCGGGCTGCCGGTTCGGGAAGAACTGCAAGTTTGCCCATGTGTGGGATAGCTTGGACCGGCAGGAGCACAAGAAGGCCTAGTGTCCCCGCCCGGGGCCTCAGAATGGAGGAGCGGCTGGTAGCCAGGCGGTGAGCGGTGGAGGGGATGCTTCGAAGAGGGGCGTCACGACTTCGGCTGGGGATCGAGGAGCGGTCAGGAAGGCGGCCGGAGGAAAGAGTCATGGGTTGGGGATGGCGGAGAGTGAAGACTATGAGGAAGTCGTTGTGGAGGAGGAGCGGAAACAAGCTGGTGGCGGAGGCAATGCAGTTACTGTGGAGTCTCTGGATGAAGAAGCTCAAAGCGGCCAGGCTGTCAAAGATTGGCGAGTGCCAGAGCTGGCGGACGGGAGGTGGCGATGCAAATGACGGAGGCCACATGATCTGCCAGGAGGCCACGCAGGTGATTGTGCCGCTTGGGGCGCTGTATCTGCTGGGCTACAAGATCCGGTGGGAGGAGGGGATCTGCCGAATTAAACATGCCAGCCGGGGGCCGCTACCGGTCAGGATGAGACAATTCTGCCCCGAGGTCCCTACGGAGGTGGCGTTGAGGTTGGTCGAAGAGTTGGAGGAGTTCAACAAGGGCCTTCTGAGAAGGGCGATGGTGTCGGCCGAGAGGAGCGACGGAAGGCAGGAAGGAAAGAAGGGTGACAGGAAGAGCCGGAGCGGGGAGGTAGCGAAGGCTTGGAGAGATGGTGAGATGGAAAAGGTGAAACAGCTGTTTCCGGAGGTGCCGGAGCCCATCATGGAGCAGGCGCTGGGCTCTGGTGGCGGGAAAGGATCCGCGTGGAACAGGGCGGCGAGGAGGAGGCATGCAAGGTCGGCAGGAGTGATCTTGCACTTGCTCGCTGGGAAGAGCGCGAAGAAGTTCAACTACGGCGAACTGGACCGGGAGGTGGTATCTTGTCGGGCCAGAACATGCTGGACGAGGACACCTTCGGCTACCTGGCAAAAGCTGGCGGTGGGAGGAAGGACGGAGGGAGTGATGGGAGGACCTCCGTGTCGGACCTACTCCTACTGTAGGCACTTCGAGCCGGGCCCGTACCCGGTGAGGGGACGAGGAGATCGATGATCGCTTTGGATATGAGGAGATCGGTGAGGAGAAAAGGAAGAAGGTGGAGGGCGACACGATCCTGATGTTGCGCATGTGGATCTTGATGGTGTTGGCCCAGGGTGGCAGAGAGCTGGTTGGTCGGAGGGCCTGGATGGTGAAGGAGCACCAAGAGCTACGTTCGGGAGGAGGAGTGGCAGAGGGCTAAGGCGCGGGGGGGCGTGCCACCATCGGTGGTCACGGCGTTGGAAGAGCTCCTGGGCCTCACTTGGAGAACGGGCACATACCGTTTCGACCAGGGTGGGCTTCGAGGACGGAGCCATTGGAGAAAAGCCCCCCCCGGCATGGTCCACGTTGGCGATCGATGTGACGGGCCCGTTTAAGGTGTCGGAAGAGGGGCATCGCCACTTGCTGGTGGGTTCATATGTCACGGCGGTCTCGGGCGGCATGGCCAAGGAAGAAGATGTCGCGGCGGAAGAGATAGGAGACGAGGATCCGTTTGAGGAGCTGGCTGAGGAGCGAGGAGCGGTCAGAGGAGAAGAGGAAGAAGAGGGAGGAGAAGAAATAGGGGAGGAAGGCGAGCACTTGGCCCCGGGGGGGCAAGAAGGAGTGGTCACCAGAACTCTCACGCTGGTGGAGCCGCTGAAGAGTCGGAGAGCCGTGGAGGTGATTGCGGCGCCCCAATCTATGGTGGCAAGGCTCCGGTGGTGGGGATTTGAGGTCACTCGCCTGCACTCGGACCGGGGACGAGAGCTGGTGTCGACAGCATTGAGAAGGTGGGCGGTGAGTCATGGGCTGCACCGGACGCTGTCAAGCTTCGATGAGCCGCAGGCTAACGGTAGAGCGGAGGCGGCTGTCGGATGGGTGAAGAGGAAGGCAAGGGCACTGCTGCTGGCGGCGGAGGTCAATCCGAACCTCTGGCATGGGGCGGCCCGCGAAAGGGAAGGATGCCTGGCATGGGGATCGGCCCGGAGCGCATCACGGTCATGAGGACCAGCGGGCCTGTCTTCGTGGTTGGTGGAGACTATGAGGTGGGGAGCAGGACACGCCTGAGGGAATGGACAGGCTACAGCGTCTTCAAGAAGAAGGAGACGCGGAATGAGGGGGTCTTGAGCTGGGAGGATCGCTGAGCGAGACTCCGATTCGGCAGATTGCCGCAGGGGGGGTGCATGAGCCCCTTGCTTTTGCGTTTGAACAGTTGAGGGATGCGAATACTGCAGACCCTTTTATTGCCCAAAGGAAAAAGGGCGCCGAGCTATAACACCAGAAAACTAAATGGCTCTTGGGAAAAAGACCTTGCAGGAGGTGATGCTAGAATCGAGCCTGCAGCCAGAGGTGCGGAAGGTTTCGAGCAGAGTGCCATTGCAGGTGTTCTTGCCAGCATCTGGGCGGAAGGAGCATGGTGTTCTCTGAGCAAAACTCACTTGAAAGCGAAAAAACACACCTGGCCTGACAACTTTTGGTTTTGGTTTCTCCAGTGATGGCAACCATTTTTTACTGGCCCGATGAGCAACAGGATGATCTCTCTGAATAAGGTAGTCGGCGGAGGCCGGTGGCCTTCATTTTGTCAGCGGAGTGCTGCCAAACCGTAGAGCACAGGTTGCAAGGCCCAGCACTCTTCAAGAGCCCTTTGAAAGTGGCTGGGAGCTTAATGTTTAACATCTTTGGATCGGACTCCCCATTGAAACCCACAGGCGCCCTTGGATGTCTCTTGGAGGTCGTTTCCTGGAGGATCCACCAACAAAGGTACCCCCTTTTTTCTCCCACCACTCAGAGCGCCATTTTTGTTCGGGATGGCGTGTAGGATTCCTAGTTGCCCAGTGGATTCAACCCTTGTTTCAACTTTGTTTTGAGGAAGGGTTCCGATTCCTTTAACCTCAACCAACCAAACAAATCGGCTGCCCCTTGTTTTCTCCATGAAAATCCACTGGGCAGAGATGATGTGATGTGTTAGATTTGCGCCTTTTGAGGCTGTAAGTTGTTTTTGTTCGTGGAACAGCCCGTGGTGAATGAGGACTTCTCTATGCAGGACCCTCGGATGGAGCAAAAAGGTATTTCTGATGTTTTTCGTCAAGCATTTTGTTGGATGGGAAAGGGCAGCCAAGAGGAAGCCAAGCCTAGAGGAATCGGTCCCTTTTGAAACATTACACATCGACACATGCCCTTTTCGCCGCAGGGCTACTTCGATGACAACGAACTCACCTGCTTTGCCAGCTATGTGCACCCCGCCGTGCCCACAGACGGCATGGGACCCGGAAGGGTGTTTGCATGGAGGACCAGTTTTCTCTAGAAACCCGGTCAGCGGTGTCCTTGGTTTTGGAAAAGACGTTGATGGTTGACCTTCTTGCACAATCCAGGCCCATCCATTTTCCCAAAAGGACTCCTAGAAGCCCGCTTGCAAGTTCCATGCTTGTTCTAGGGAGGGTATTTGTTCGGGCTGCCGGGTTGCATCCTTTGCCTAACGCATTGCAGACTTCAAATGAACGGCTTCTGCGAGTTGGTTAAAACTTGCGGTAGACCACGGTTCATTTGGGAGGGACAAGGGGGGGACTCACTAATTAGCTTTCCAATGTCCAAGGGAAAAACTGGTAATTTTGACAGTGGCTTATGTGGCTCTTGATTTTGGCAACGAGGATGTTTCGCTGGTGCCAAATCAAAAAGCTTCAGTCAGAGCAAGCCGCAAGTGAGGTGGGACACAATCTTAGGCAGTGCTGTTGCTGTACCCACAGGATTGCCCCACAGAACAACCCCAGCCAGTAACTGTTCAAGTAGTCATGGGCTTTACATAGACCCCCCAACCTTTGCCCGCGGCTTTTCGAAACTTGGCTTCTCGCTTTTTGTGATGCCCCCATGTTTCAGACCGCTCCCCATGTTTCAGACCGCTCTGTTGCTCCCATCTCAATCTGCTGCAGGGGACACGCCCTCTGAGCGTCCTAAGGACTATGCGTTGGAGCTGCCCAGCCCCGAGCAGATCCTGGAGTCGAAGCAGGAACGGAATTGCCAATGGGCATCTAGGTCCCCCGGTAGAGCCCTTTTACCCTTTTTTGGGGGAGGGTTCCCCTACCAAAATAGACTACAGTAGAAGGGTACCCTTCTTCTAACCCACTGGAGGACCTAGGCATGGGCTGCAAATGCTATGGAGAACTGGTTTAAGACTCACTTCTTTTTGAATGGCCAAGATGCAGTTGAGTTTTGGAATCTCAATGATCAGCGCATTTGGCAATTGCCAGTGTTCCCGCCAGGCACTGCGAGATCTGCAGGAGGCTGGCAACCTGACTGATGTCAAGTGCCTCCCCTGTGATAGGTCTGCCCTTCAAGGGCTTGGCGTCGTTTATAACTTGAGCGTGTGGGTTGGCTATCTCTCGATAGGAAGAGTGCGGGTGTGCCAGAGATGCAACGGAACGGCTCCACTTTCGGGTTGCAGCTTGGTCTCATTTTTGTTTTCATCTGGCACCTTCGGGCCCCTGAAGCTTGGATCTGGTGTATCCAGGTCCACGGTTTATTCATCCCAGGCTCCCATGGCGTTGGCAGGACAAGCAGTGGGCTTGGCGCCTGGACAAGGACGGTAGAACCGTAGCCATGCCGGATCAAAGCTGCAAGCTCGCCGTGTAGGTCCTTTGCTCCGGGATCCCTGGCCTTGGAATTATTGCAACATGTGCAGATCGTGCCCAGAAGTGCAAGCAGCGCGCTTGAGTCGCTGTCGCAGATACTGACTGCAGTGGCTGTGTTTGTGTTCACTACGCGGCAAGACGCGGTTCGATTTGTTCATGCATGGTCGAAGTCGCTGGTTGCGATCAACGATAGTTGTTCCAAAGTACACCAGCTGGATTGCTTGAACAGCTAAATCCAAAAGGTCCAGAATGAAGAGCTCGCTGCAGAGGCTGAAAGGCGGTCAATGGCTGTTTGCACAATGTGCTTTGGAAGCTTTCTTGTCTTGACAACATGTCCTTTGGTTCTTCGTGGGTTTCCACGAAGCTGGTTAGATGATCTCATACTCAGCAAATGTCCATCAGGTGAAAGCCATTGAACTCCAGCCGAATCGCTAAACTCATGCAATGTTGACTGAAGCTGGGACGCAGGATCCTGCCCTCTTCCTGGAAGACTTTCGCAAGGAGTCGGCCTCCAAGTGGGTGTGTCTCAAACTCGGGCAGTTTTGAAGGGACGCCAAAAAAAACTGCCACATAGAAGGAGCCCCACATTTTTTCCAGAACCAATTCCCAAGCCTTCGGGCGGACGGCAAGCAAGTATATCTGGTGCCCTTGATGCTGCTTCATGCCGTTGTATCCAGTTTTCCACAGACTTCCATGGAAACTTGGTGGCTCCCAGCCATCCGGCCCCTTAGCTTTTTAGCTTTTTGCTTGGTTTAGTGGTTGGGTTTTCCCATCTAACCCACTCAATGTTCGTCAAACTTTCCGCCGATCAGCACACGGACAGCCCGGAAGTGTCACAGCGTCTGAGTTGCCACTCCAGGCCTTGGAGTGGTGAGCTGGACCTTGCAGGCCTCCCGAAGGTGGACAAGTACGAGGTGCAGAGATCGCAAGCTGCACGGATATCGCAGGCTGATGGAAGAAACACGAGCGTTTAGGCATTTGTTGAGTGACGGATTCCTCAAGCGAGGGCCAAATTCCCACTCAAATCGCCAGTGCGAAGCTGTGAATGGATTGAGTTCCGGAGGTAGCTTGGTACCGTTCTTACACATAGTTCTTCGAATTGGTGGCTTACATTGCCAGCCCACCTGCAGATATTGCTGAAGAACTTGCACTACGCAAGATCGGATGACTGGCGCGGATCCGGGGATAGGGATGGGATTTGGAGACGGTTGGATTGGTTTCGCCAAACGAAGAGGTCTTCACTTGAACGGACGGTTGAGGTCTACCTATTGCTGAATTCTTTTATCAAGGCCACAACAGGGATTTGCTAGTCTTGACCTTGTTGGCAAAATGGGACCAATCGGGTTCAATGGGACCAACTAGGTCAAATAGATTGACTGAGGGGGGCAGCTGCGCCGACTTGGCCAACTGTGTTTCACTCGACGTCGTTTAAAACCTGTCCTCTGTAAAGCTGTTCGAACAACTCCCTAGACTCTGAGCTTACTGGGGCTGCAAGGCTTTAACTGGAAAAAGACTTCTTGCCTTGACTATAGGAGGACGGTTTTGAGGTTATTGCGTCGGGTGTGCTGATTCTACTTGATCTAATTGGACGTGGACAACAAGCTGGAGCCCAGGACATTTCTTGTTTGTTGTTGGTGTAGACGCACTGCACAGCTGCCAATTGTGTTGTATTGTCCTGTTGCCACTGAAACATGTGTTTCACATAGATATGCAGCTATTCGTATTTTATGATAGGCATACACCAGGCGGGTCTTCAACAAGCTGGACTTAAATCAGATGTGATCGATTAATTGCCTTGGCGACCACGAGGGCGTGAGGTTGCTTGCCTCAGATTTGTTCGCTTCTTTATCAAATCCGAGTATAGCTGTTGCTGTGTTGCATTTGTTTGATCTTCCTCTTATCTTGCTCTGGGGGTCGTACAAATCTTTCCCATTTGGACTGTCATTCCAGCTTAGATTGTGTTGTTTAGGTTGCTTTGCATGTTCGATTGCTCTTGTTCTCTTTGCTCAGAAAACGTGCCTATCAATGAAATGGGCCATGGCCCTTCGGCCGGTTGCGCTTTGGCTGTTGAACTAACTAGTCCAATTGACAAGATAAAGACGATGCGCGCGTCCTTGCCTGGGCCCCACCATGAGCGGCCTCTTTGTCGATCACCTGTGTTGGAGTTGTTCCGCCTTCAGAGTTCAAGCACGGCCATAGACTTCGCTCGCCAAGCAACGCCTCTGAAATACTGGTGACTGCTGGCCTGTCGGGCAGGGACAGCTGGTTTCGCATCACGGGCATTACCTGCAACATGCTGCGAGTCTACGAGTACGACGTTGAGGCAGTGCTCGTCTTGCTTCGTGGCTTTGATGATATATCAGGAACTGCAATGCTTCAGGATTTAAGTTATGTGTTTCAGTGGGTCTTGCTTGGCGACCAGCGTGGGGTGGTGACTTGTTGTATGCCGACTGAATGTTGCAGGGCTGGGCTGGTGAATGTCATGAGCCCGAATGAAGAAAGTAAGCAGGGGTTTATGAATTCGAGGTCAGCACTAGGCTTCATGTTCTTCGAATGTGGAGCTGCCTTTCAGTGGGCCCTGCTTGCTTGCTCGCTTTCGCGGAGAGTTACTCCGGTCACCCGTGGAGAGTGTGAGGCGCAAGAGAGGATTTGGGCGGCCCACTGTGATTGGCCTGAGCCTTGGAGCCAGTTGGCCATGCCATGCCATGCCCAGTGAACCAGCCACGGGCGGGCGGCCCAATTCACGCATGGCTGAAGGCCGCAGTTTGGCACCCAAATGTTCAACATAGCGACCATTCAGCAGTCACTTTGGTCAGCAAGGTTCCGCGAAAGGATCGAGTTTCTGTGCACCGAGGTCCAGCATGTCTGCCAAGTTCGACAGCCATGAGAATTGGGACCGGATCATGGAGGCTGGAGTTCACGGACACCACCATGTTGTTTTTTGGGATCGGGACAGATCAAATTCCAAGGGACACTCCCAGCCATAGCTTCGGCCGCCTTTGTGTTTCCTTAGATGTTGCTGGGTCAACCATTTTCATACTGGGTTTTGAGCAAGTGACTCAAGTGCCAACCGCGGTTTCACATATGTGAAACCGCTGAGGCACTTGTGTAGCTTTTCTGCAGTGTCATGAAACCTGGGCACCTGTGTCATCTGGGTTCCTATGTGCTTGGCTTGCTCGGGATTCCTTTAAGACTTTGGAACCAGAGGGCAGTTTCACAGCTTGAAGCCCAAGACTTGCAAGCGCGCTCCTGGAGTTCTCAAACTTGAACGCGTCCTTCACGTCGAGCATGAGAGCTGTCAAGATTTTCCTGTTCACCCGGTGGTCCTAAAGTCAATGTGCCAACAGGTTGCTCACATCGGCTACTCCTACAATTTGGCCCCTTCCCTTGGTGTGGGATCAGTCCGACCCAAAACCTGGTGTGTCTTTTTTGTTGGACAAAATGGTGCCGTTGGCTTCTCTTAAAAGCCGGCAACAGGGCGCACCCTCAAACACAGGACGCCCCCCCAGGCCAATCGGAACCCGGGCCTGGGTTTCCAGGCAAGCCGATCGGACCATCTGCCTGGCCTCTGCCCGGCAGCCCGGGTCTCCGAGCATGACTTGCCATTTCCTTAAGACTTAAGAATATGTTTTAATTTTGCCCTGTTGGTTTTAAAGGGAATCTATCACTCTTGGACCTTTTTTCTTTTTTCTTTTTTTTTTCTTTTTTTTTTTTTTTTCGAGGGGTCCCTGTTGGTTTTACAGGGCTCCTTAAACAATACACATTCCCAATTAAAACATGGCTGTTTCCAAAAGAAAGGGGAACCACCATTGACAAGGCAATGTTCAGGTGTATAATGTAAGGATCCCGGTTTTAAAGGGAATCTATCACTAATGGAACTATATATATATTTTTTCCAGGGGGCTGAAGCAAACGGAAGTAACCTGTCTTGGTCTCACTTGCCCAAGCGAACCTTTTATCCAATGCGACGGTCGCCTCGGGGTCAAGCTCTAAAGCGGACGCAAGGCAACCTGTACCACACCAAGTGCCCATGTTGGGTTCCCATTTTGAGTGGCCCCGAAAGGTTGATCTGTTGTGTCTGGGTGTCTTTCTGCGGAAAGTTAGGCGCTTTGACACACGAGTCAAAAAAATGCTGGGGCTGGTCGCGGTGGACGTGGTAAACAGGTTCCTCATGTGCTGCTTTTTTCACCAGGGCCCCGAGATACAGCTTTTGTCTAAGGCCGTTGTTTGGAGGCAGGGTTCCGATTAAAACTGGTGTTTCAAGTACAAAGAACGAGCATCCGGTGGTTCTTGTCCCCATGGCCGGGTGTAAGACAGAAAGCCCTGGTCCTTGGTCCTTCGGTCTCGCCTTTTTGCTAGATGAAGCCAAGCCCTAATCCAGCCTTCAACTGATCCCGCCTCTGCATCAACCCTCAGTAGCCACAATCCCACCTTAAGCCCACCAGAAGCCAACAGCAAATCTCGTGGGAAATGAGGCATTTTGAAGGGAATTCCCTCAAAAGTGCTTTGAAGGAGGATCTTTGATCCTGATGCTCAGCTGTGCCGCTGACACAGGCGCCCTGATCGAAATGGTGAAGCATGACAACCCCGGGCTCCAGGCGGGTAAGAGAGGCCACGGACCAATTGGAGCGGGCATACTTCCGTAAGATGGAGCCCAAGAACCCAGCACATGAAAACCCGTCTCCTTCCGATCGGAATGATCCCTTTTTTGGGCTTGGTCACGAAAGTTGACTGAGCTTGGAGGACCTGAAGACGGAGCCGCTAACCATTGGGACACGAGGGGGAATCTCTGTACGCGAAGTCCATGAACCATGCGATTCTGGTAGCAGAAGGTCCGTTCGTAGAGCATATGACCAGCTGGGTGACAGCGCGATGTCTCCGGAGCAGCAATCGCTGATGGCCCCTTGGTCCACTTGGTGGACAAGCAAGTTGCCAAGATGCTCCGCCCACTTGGTCCAATGGGCCACTTGAGCAGTGGCGAAGTGGACAAAGTGGCCAAATGGAAGCACAGTGGCCAATGCGATCAAGGGCGAAATGGCCAACAGGCCACGCACTTGTCCACTTGCTCGGCAAAGCAAGTGGAAAGGTGGACCAACTGCCCACGTAGCCAAGTGACCACGGCCGCTTATCCACTTGCTAGTGGACCAAGTGGGAAAGCCAACCAAGTGGTCCCTGACTGGGCGGGCCCACGCGAGCGGGAAATGTCCGTTGTTCAATTTGGGGCCGGCTTGGCGCAAAATATTGAGCAATACAATTTATCATACAGGCCCAAGCGGGTGGGCAATGTCCACTGTCCAATTCAAGTTCGGCTACGCGAAAACTGAATAACACGACCGACTATGGAGGGGCAACGTCCATTGTTGAATTGGGCCTTGGCTGCGTGGCTATTTGAACAGCGCGACTGCCCTTGGCGGGCAATGCCCCTTGTTCAACTAGAGCTTGCCAATTGGAGGCAATGTTGCTTCCGCCGCTTGGTCCACTTGGCCGCTTGGTCCCTTTTAGCCACTTGGTCCACTTGGCCACTTACTTCGCCGAAAGCCAAGTGGCCAAGTGGCTTCGGCCCAGTTGGTCGACTTGGTGCGCTTGGCAACGTCCGCTTGGCCACTTGGTCCAACAGCATGCGGCCAAATGCCGAGTGCACAGGTTCGCTTTGGCCACTTGGTCCACTTGGTCCACTTGGCCACTTGGTCCAATGGTACATTTGGCCACTTGGCCACTTAGTCAAAGGCACGGCCAAGTGGCTTTGGCGGCTTTGGCAGCTTTGGACACTTGACCGCTTGCTGGACTTGGTCAAAAACGCAAGGGGCGTGGTGGCTTTGGCCACTTGGTCCACAGGGCCAAGTGGACGCATGTGGCCCTCAGCGATTATAGATCCCCGGTGTGCGAGCGCCAGATAACATTGGTGCATGTTGCTTGGATGTGAGGACTTTAACTTTTTGCAAACAATGGGTTTTCCATTAAACCACCAAAAGTTAAGCTTTTAGCAGGGGAGCAGAAAGCAACCGAGATAACATTGGTAAAATCAGGGACCCGTCGAGGCCGGGGTTTGGTGGCTAGCCAGGTGCGAGAGAGGCTCTTTAACCTTCACTTCGGCGCTGGGCGCCGTCTGACCAAGCAGGGAGACGCCACGGCATGAGCGCCGGCAGAGACACGAGATAAACACTACCGAGATAAGAAGGGGAGTCTTGTGGGGATATCCGATGTTCAATTCTCGATGAGCGTTGTTGGGACAAATGGAGCCCAAAGAAATTGCCGAGCATAACATGTGCCCATAGAAGATTTCCTTGTTAGAATTGGGCCTTTCCCTTGTTGGGTGCCACGTAAATTTGCAGGGGAGATGGTGATCCATACATGAGGCGCGGTCTCATGCATTCGCCCTAAAACGGGAGCTGCAGGGGAGAAGCAGCTTGGGGACTGCGGGCAGAAAAGGCGCGAATGTGTCTTGCTGTTTTGGGTTGTTCAAAATCAATCCAGAAGGTCCCAGTTGGGATGGGTGGGGGTTCCTTGTAATCCCACTACGGAATAGGATAAGAGATCCCCAATTTTGAGCAGCCCAGACTGTGAGAGTGCATGCGGTGTTGCAACTGAGCATAGGGACCAAAGTCAGTTCCAGATAGTTTACCAGATTGTGGAGGAAAGTCAGTCAAATGATGCCAGGTTGTAAGACAACTTTGCTCTGAACGGTGCTTTCAGCCGACTTGAGCTGAAATGTACAGTTGCTGTGCATGGTTGGTTGCACTGCTCTTTTGCATCAAAGGTGACAATCACACAAGTGTACGTTTCTCGTAGCAGAGCAAGCGTCAAGAAGCAAATACATTCCGAACCTTCAACGCTGCTCCCATATTGTTGGTCATGCAGGTGTTGCACAGTGAGAAGGGCCCAACTTGCTGCATGCGCACTGGCTGTCATGAGTTCATCGCTGGCTGTCATGTTCATCAATCCGCTCTTTCACTGCCAGCAAAACCAGGCCAATCCAATCACAATAATAATCGTGGTGGTTCCCTGCCATTTGCTTAGGCTTTTGGTCATTTTGGTCTTTAGGGTTTAGTGGGGGTCTCCATTCAACCCACTCAAAGTTAGTCACTTTTACCAGGGGATCTGACAGCCCAGCAATCCAGTTGCCATCGGTTTGATCCGAAGCCTCGGATTTCAGTAGGTCAAGTCACCCTTGGCCCCGGGCAACGGAAAATGGAGTGCCAAGGCTTCGGACGCCGGGGCGCAGATGTCCACGTGGCTGTCAATAAGGAAACCCCTTTTTGGGGTTGGTTTTAAAGCAGAACAAAAAGGAAAACCACCATTTTAGCGATCCCGGCTTTTTTTTGAGACACACCCACGTGAATGATGTCTACACAAAGTATTAAACAACACATAATGTAAGCAAGAAAGCAAAACATGTACCGTGGTTGTGTTGTTTACCAACTTCAAGGTTCTTGGAGGCTTGCAGATATATGTTTGTGTACGGCCGCGCCTGGCAAGCGACGGGAGGACATGCAGTGGATGCGCGACCGGCTCTTCAATGTGCCTTTTGGCCTTGTAGAGGCGAAGGAAATGAAGCCGCCGATCGGGATTGCCATGGATGAAACCCGACCAAGCCACCTATATCCACTCTGGGTGAATTATAGCAACCTCAGACGGCCTCACCCAAAATGGTGGTTTACGCGGGGAATAGCCCCCCAAACCACCTGAATTATTTCAGGCTGGTGAAATATTGTAATTCGCCCAGATCCACCGGTGCCTGGCGTGGATCTCGTACACTGCAGCATTCCGAACATCAACCGTATGTTAACCTAGGTTACTGGGCGAGGATTTCGAGCAACCCAACAGATCCGGAGGGGGGGGGGGGGTGGTAAATCTAGCGTAACCCCGTGTTGTAGGTCCTTTTGCCTGGGTATCCGATTCTTGCTTCAGGTGTAAAAAGTGCAGCATCAGGTGTCAGAAACATCTTGAGACACCTAACTAATTCAGAACCGTAGCAAGGGGAGCCGTTTCTACTAGGGGAGACTATGAGTGATTAATCGTGACTATCAACAGTGGGCATTGCAAGGGATTACCTCACCATGGTTAGGCAGAGTCCGAAGGCTTTGCTACCGAGCCTTCAACTCCCATGAGTCGATTCTTTCTTGGGCTTGATTCAAGGGGAAAGCTGAAGCACATTTCAAGTCCTGAAGCGCCTTCCGGTGTGTACAGTTGCAAAAACCCGGAGGCCCAGTTCTGAGAACAACCCGTCCGCTGGGCTTGGTCCGCCCTAGATTTCCCTTTTTGCTGGATTTAACCATCACCTGTTTGGCCCATGTATGGTGAGCTTCCCTTTATAGAGGTGTTTTGTTTGATTAGAGGGAAGCCTGCCATGATCAGCACTTCCTTGTTTGCAAGCCTGTTCACAGCTCAACGTGCCCGCCTCAAACCAGCAATCCCCTTCTTTATAGCATGCAGAAGTTTAAAGAGGCGGACTTCATGTCGGACCACTATCGGGTTCAGAG